TTATAGGAATATGGGATAAAAGGACAACTATTAACCTCAAATATTTTACGTTGGTATGGATTTGTATATATTAATACAAATTTAAAGTTATTTTTGTTATACTGTATATATGTTTCTACTCTTGTTTAAGGTATTGTGCTTATGCAGTTCATTTTAAAATGTAACGTATAATTAAGAAATGCAGGATAGCAGTCATCTATAATAATCAAACTTGTTAGGCATGTTTTCAAGGTTAAACAGAAACATTTTGGATAGATAGGTGTTCTTCAAACACTTCAAAGACCTATAGAATGTGGCATTTCAAAGGTTTAATAACATAGGGTTTTTCACGTCAGTGAGACACATCTGCTTCTGGCAGTCTACTTCATAAAACGATGGTGGGCACAGAGGAACTTTCATATGGAGTTTGAATTTAATGTGTCAAAGTTAGTCAGTTGGGCAAGAAATTGTCCTTGCTTTGACTGCTAACAGTATACCATTCAAATTGGACAAGCAGGGAACAAAGGAAAAGACTGTAAAACTTTGTCAAAACAAGGCATGACAGTCCTTCAAAATTCCTGCTTCATAGAAAAGTTTGCCAGATATCCTAGGCCTGTAGGTCAAAGATATATGCCCCAATGTTTCAGAGGAACCTCAGGTGACTGTCCAGGCAGTCAGATGTCTTTGCCATTTATATAGTTTTAGAAGTAACTTTCCTGTTTACTCAGGTAATATTATCTTCTTCTGGGGTCTTTGATGGAGTTGAAGGCTTGATAGTTACAGTACTTCTTAATTATGATAGAAGGTAAATTAGGTACAAAACTTTGGACTCATCAAGATAGGATAAATAATGGAGTATTTTCTCTGAATTCGCCAAATACAAATGGATTGGATATTGTAAATGTAATTCTCACTTGATAATTGTTCTCATTGTATATAGTTTTACATTTAAAACCTCCTTTTTATTTAGAAAAAAGGGGGAAATGTTGTGGAATTTTACTTTAACCATGTAAAGGTGTGCTGCAATTTGTTTATGCTGTATTTGTTTAACTATGTAAAGATGTGTTGCTTTGCTATATAAGGCATCTGATTTGTCTAATATAAAGCTGAACAGCCAACCGTTAAGCAGTAGAGAGATAGGCAGGGCTGGCAGGCAGAGAAAACAAGTAGGAGGAGGAATCTAGGCTCCAGAGGAGAAGGAAGGAGAGAACAAGGGAGAAAGAGAGACATGGGACTAGCCACCAGCCAGCCAGACACAGAGTAGGACATACAGAATGAAAGAAAGGTAAAAAGCCACAACGCAAAATGTAGATGAAGAGAAATAGGCTAAATTAAACTATAACAGCTGGTGGGACAGGACTAAGCTATGGCTGAGCATTCATAACTAATAATCATTCATAACCAAGAAAGCCTGCTATAGACTATATACCTTATAATCTATAACAAAATATGTAATTTGATTTGAAATAGGTCTTGTAGAAAAAGGGGGGAAAGCCTTCAAATTATCTAATTCTTTAATAAACAGTGGAGTCTAATTCAGACTCCAGGTAAATAGCAAATGTACCAGCCTCACCCTCCAAAGAAACCAGCATGTCTGAGACAAGCTCTTATCCCTTGGGATGCAGACAAGTCCCTATAGAAGAGGCTAGGAGATTTCATGTGCCTGTCCCCACGCTGCCCTTCCCATACTGTCTAACCATGGAGGTAAAGGATACTTACTTAATCTTCTTGAATCTTGCATATAATGCCTCTGATGCAGTGCCAAGCAGTGAGCTAGACACAACTTTTACAGGGTTGCGGTGAAAGTATTGGGACATTTCCCAAATTTTCTATTTTTATCCCTTGCTTTTATGCTATAACCAAAAATCCTCTGCCTAAGGATATCTGGATTCTAAAAAGCAGCAAGAGGGACCCCGTAAAGAATTCTCTGCTCTGTGAGGTCACTCTCAGGCATTCCGGCAGTTGCTAGCCTGAGAAGGAGGCCTGTGGGTTCAGCCACTTACAAGTCCCTCTTCTTGAGGTGGGGAATGCCTCAAAGAGATGAGCACCTAGCAACAGAGGTAAAGCAGAAAACACTGGAGATGTGGAGACTTCCCCTCATGGCGTGCCCACTCCGGGAAGCAAAGGTCCTTTATAACATGGTAAGACAAGCTGAGGGTCATGTAGGAGGAAAATTTAAATTTTCTAAGTTTCTAAGGGACAGAACACAGCCAGAGCCAACACCAGGAACAGTGGTGTTGAAGGAAAGGAAGAAGGAAAGGAAGATTTCAATGGGTGAAGCAGTGGACATGAAAGCCCAGGGAAAGCAGAGAAAGCATCTCCAGGTCTTGCTATTTGGAGGTTGTGGATGTGGTTACATGTTGACAGGTTTCTGTCCCGCTAGGTTCCATAGCTGTTTAGTCCCAAAAGAAAAACACAGAGGTCTACATTAATCATAAACTGGTTGGCCTATTAGCTCAGGCTTCTTATTAACTCTTATATCCTGCATAAACCCATAATTCTTGTCTGTGTCAGTCAACCATGGCTTGGTACCTTTTATCAGTGAGACATTCTCATCTTGCTTCCTCTGTGTCTCTGTGACAACTGCAGACTGAATCTTTCCTCTTCCCAGAATTCTCCTATTCTGGTCACCCTGCCTATACTTCCTGCCTGGCTACTGGCCAATCAGTATTTTATTAAACCAGTCAACTGGCAAACCTTTACAGGCTACAAGACCATTGTCCCACAGCAGTTACCAAGACTCCTTTCCTGAGGAAAATGTAAACAATGTCTAAAGTCCCAAAGACAAATTCAGAGAAGACTGCATCAAAGTTCACGCCCAGGAAATTAGTGAGTTTATTGGGCTTATTTACAGAGCTTATTTACAGATAAGGGATTACATACAGGAGGTAGGAATTCCCTCCCAAAGGTCACACAGGAATCATTTCTTTCCCATAGATGCATAAATGGAGGCACCCTCCCCTAACCCTCACCAGCCCATAGACTCTAGCCTTGCCCTCAGGCCACAAGCAATCAGCGCAGAATTGCATGCAACCCTAGAATGGCTGGATACTCAGGGTCCTGCAAGCCTTCCCATCCTTCCTTCCACGGGGGATGTCACAGTCAACAAGCACAGCTGGGATGATCCTGCAAGCCAATACGGCTAAACTCCCAACGATACTGGTTGCTTTCCTCAGAGAATAGTCATGAACAATGTGGAAACTTCTGAGTGTGAGGAATGAGATCACGACCTAGAGGTGTCTTTAAGTACAAGAGCTATAGAGATTTAGCTCTGTTTAACCTTCAAAATTACTATCTCCCCCCTCCCCCGCCTTTAGTCTTGATTTTCACAAGGCAAGACCTGGAGATCTGGATTGCTGGGTAGTGTTAAATGTTTAATCACTGAATTAGTCAATTTCCTGAAAACCCAAGTTCTTAAGCTTTAAGGAGATGGAGTAGCCACCCCACTATCGCTCCTGTCCCTAGTATTCTTGCTTCTCTGTTATTTGCAGTGTTAGGGGTGGAACCCACATCCCTGTGTGTTGGGCCTCTACCCCAGCTAGTCCTTAGTATTCTAAAACATGTGTCCAGGTCCATTGCTGGTAGGAAAATACTCAAATAAGAAACTAAAACACTGAAGTGAGAAATAATAGCATCTATACCTGCCCAAGAGAACAAGAGAAGAAACAAGTCCTGGTGATTATATTCAACAATATTATGTCACATGATAAAATTAGGAGAGGACTTCAAATCTGATCCCAATGGTAAGTATTGGAGACAGAGGGAAGCACCCTGAGCTGGTCAATGCCAAGCACGGTACATCACACCGTGCTTCATAAAGATACACAATTTTTTAAAACTGATTTCCTGACACAATCTGATATAGCCCGGGCTGGTCCCAAACATTATATGTAGCAGAGAATGACCTAGGACTACAGCCCCTCCTCCTAAGTGTGGTGTGCTGGGATTACAGGTGTGTGCCACCACACCTAGTTCCATCCAATTATCTGCAGATTAAAAAAAAACACAAAACAAAACAAAAACAAAATCAAAGCTTTAAAAAGTATCTGGTGACTGCAAGTGAAGTGATGTCCTTTCACACACCAGACAGGCCAAGGCGGAGTGTGGGGTCCAGGGCAGGTACCCGCAGAGGACTGACCACCTCCCGGCACCACACGCCACAAACCCAGAAACACAAGCTTTGGTCAGACCATGGCTTCACTCTCCCCTCACCCACACGGCACCATGTGGAAGAATCTGGAGCAGTGGTTCTCAACCTGTGGGTCGTGACCGCTTAGGGTCGAATGTGCAGCCATGAAGCAGCAAAAACGTTATGGCGGGGTCACCTCAGTATGGGAACTGCCTTAAAGGGTCACAGCATTAGGAAGGCTGAGAACCACTGAGTTAGAACCAAGAGGATCTGAGAACTTCACCTTCCAGCTCAGCATAGCTGGGCCAGCAATTCATCCGTCAGCATATGTGTCCCACGATGGTCTTCGTGTGCTTCCAGGTTAGGTTTTAAGACTGTGCTTACGTTTCCCCTCCCACTCCCTACACCTCCACACCCCACCCTCGTACCCCACTCCCCGCAGTGTGCTATAAGGCCTTCTTTACTACACCCTCTAGCTGGGAGTCTCTCAGGCTGCTTCTCCACTTCATCCTCCATCTTCTTCCTCTTGTTCTTTTTTTTTACTTCTTAACTATAACCTTTGTCAATGCAAAAACAAGCATGGATCTCACCTTCGAAAGGAAATAAGAGGTAGTTTATCATGGAGGCATTTTGCATGACTAGCACCCAGGAGCACAGGCTCAGCAATCAAGAACTTAACACTGCTCTTCCAGAGGCCCTGAGTACAGCTCCAGCACCCATGTCAGACAGCTTACAACGGCCTGACTCCAGCTCCAGGGGATCCTGCACCGGTGAGCTCCACAAGCAACTGGACACACGTGTATTCACACAAAGATACACACACTTCTCATTTTTAAATAATAACTCAGGTTGGTTTATTATGTCTGACTAGATGTAATAAAGAAACTCAAGCTTCAGGTTCAAATCATTCTGTATTTAAGCATCAACTATACAAAAATGTATATATGTAAAAACAAACAAATTTATGATTTAACTGATTCACATAAATGGCTTTAAAAACACTGCAGACGACCAGGTTCTGATCTTTACACGCATGGAAGGTGATCACAGAGCAGCGGCAGCGCTGTCGATGAACTGGGCCAGCTTCACATCGCGCTTGCTCAAGCCTCCACAGTCATGCGAGGTGAGCGTTATCTGGACCTACGGGTGGGAAAACAGCTTTTCAGATCTGAGCAGAGACCTGCGGGAGAGACCCTGGATGGTTCAGAAGTCAATCTATTTCTCAACATTCCTATTTGAGAATTGGAGGGTAGATGATTTAGAAAATACTACCTTATGAATAGACACTGCATTTCCCAAACCCAGTGAGCTTGGGGTACAGGCTGCACCAAACTGGGTGCGATAGTCACCCAGGAGGGAAGGCTCCCAGAGAGGGAAGTCAGCAGCCAGGATGGAAAATCTTGCTTCCTGGGAAGCATGAACAGAGACAGAAGCGCCATTTTAACTCCCTGAACTTTTTATACCAACCCTGCTCAGGCCACCAAGAAAGAGCAAGCTGACCAGAAAGTAGATGCTCACCCTGGAACTGGACAATTAGGAACTGCTTCCTTTTAAATCACAATAGTGAAATTCTATTTTTCTCAGAGGACTTAGGATAAGTGGCTGTTAGACATAGAGCAAAGAAAAACCAGCCTACAATTCACAATCTCAGAGAACCTAGACAACAAAGAGGACCCTAAGAGAGACATACATGGATCTAATCTACATGGGAAGTAGAAAAAGACAAGATCTCTTGAGTAAATTGGGAGCATGGGGGTCATGATAGAGGGCAGAAGGGGAGGGGGAGAAAGGGAGGGGAGGGAAGGAAAATATATAGCTCAATAAAAACAATTTTTTAAAAAGCTACTGATAGGGAGTGGGAACAGCCCAAGAAAAAGAAGTGCATTGTAGTCAACAAAGCTGAACGGAATTGGAGTCTGAAGAGCACACTTTGACATCAGACATGGAGATGCAGAAGTTAGAGACTCCAGAGAGTTTTTGCTCTTGCTTTGGCCCAGTATCTCCTCAATGTGCTCATTCTCCTCCATTTTGGAATGGTAATGTGTGTCCTGTGCATATGTTGGAAGTATTTGATCTGCTTTTCGATTTTATGGGGTATTACAGTTAAGAGACTGTATGAATCTCAGAAGAGACTTTGGACCTTTACAGGACGGATGCTGTGACATCTATGGGGCCTTTCAGAGTTGGGCTAAAAGCACATTGCATTATAATATAGCTACAAACCTATGGAGGTCGGGGAGTGGAATGTGGTGGTTTGAATAAAACTGGCCCCATAAACCCATAGGGAGTGGCACTATTAGGAGATGTTTTGAAATAAGTTTATTACAGGGGTGGCCTTTGAGGTCTCAGACACTCAAGTCAGGCCCATTGTGGCCCTCTCTCTTCCTGCTGCCCACCGACCTGGATGTAGAACTCTCAGCTACCTCTTCAACACCATGTCTGCCTGCATCTTGCTAAGCTTCCCACCATGATGACAATGACCTAAACTTCTAAACTGTAAACCAACCCCAATTAAATGCTTTCCTTTATAAGAAAAAAAAACCTCAAAGAAATCTAGATAGCTATCCAGAGTGGTGAGACACTCTTTGGGGTGTGGATATTCTCGCTGCACCCCTTAAAAGATTTTTAGTCTGCCCTCTGGAGATCAAATTTTTAATAAACATTTACTACAAAGAGACAGTTGCTGAGATTTATTTCAGTGAGACACATAAGGCTATGCTATCTGATTTGCTATCATTCCTCTTAATAAATTATTTTCAAATTAAAACTCTGAGGTCTCAAGTAACTGAGTTGGCCATGGCAGTACTTGCCTATAATTCCACAAAACAGGAGGAACTCCCACCAGCCTGGTGTTCTCAGTGAATTCCAGGGTACACAGGGAGACTCTGACTTAAATAATATGCCCCTTCAAATAAATACCCCTCCACAAAAATTACGTAAAGTTCTATCTTCGTGGCTGATATCCACAATTAACTCAGGATAGTCCAAACTTCTGAAACAAATGTTGGAAGCCAAGCCTAAGAGCAAAGAAGTATAGTTCTGCTCTCAGGAAAGCCCTGAACTCTGCCAGCAATGACACAGGGCTCTGAGCTAGAGTTAAGACTACATCCTCAACACCACATTCACAATAAGTTTCTTCAATTCTCAAATTAGTGATTGCAAGATAGAGGTACAGTTACCTTGTTGTACACGTTGAACCATTCTGGGTGATGATTCATCTTTTCTGCCTGCAGGGCAACCCTGGACATGAAGCCGAAAGCCTGCAAAACACCAAGTCCGGAATTATGGGCCCCACCCCGCATTCTGTAGCTGGGAGACCCCAGAGCCACCCAACCAGATAAAGGCTGGTTGGGACACTGAGGAAGCCTCAGAAATCACACGGGAAGGGCTGCTCTCTGCAGGCCAGGGCACCAGGGCAGCAGACTGCTAGGTGGGGAAACAATCTGGCTCAAATAAACAAACCAGGAAATGAGTGTCACCTAGTGACCTGTCTGGACTGCTTAATTGTCCTAGGCCTCCCGACTGCACAGGACTAATTCTCTTCAACCCAGAGCCCTGAGTCTACCTGCCCCAAATCAACAGAGCCAATTTACTCCTTAACCATTCCTTCTGTTTTTAGTGAATAAGCTGCCTCGGCCATCAGCTGCAAGACTGTGAAGAAAGGCCCACAGCTGCCCCAGCCCACACTTCAGGGACAGCCAGTGAAGGCCTACCTTCAGCGCCAAGCAGCCTGAAAGAAAAGCCCTGCGTGCCTGCCGGGGAGCCTCTGGCTACAGCCCCACCAAGCTGAGGTGACAGTGTGCCTCCACAGAAGCCAAGTCTGGAAACAAGCCAATGGCCCCATCCAAAAAATTGGACAGCTGGGGCTCACACCACAGGGAAAAGAGAAACACCAAGCAGGAGGCCATTGTTCTGAGGAAAACATTCATTTTTGCTTCCTTTCACATTTTTACGAAGGCAATGGCAAATAATAATCCTACTTCACACAGCCCCTCTAAGGCTCAGGGAACACTGTGGAAGGGGACCACGAAGTGGACAAGAGGCTGAAGACAGGATGAAGGAAGGTGGGACACTTGTCAACCTGCACAATCATGAGCACATGACCATCCTGGTTACCTGCCCTGGGCACACAGCAGACTAGTCCTGTGAACTGTCAATCACAGGTAATGCATTTTAAAAGGAAGGGGAGGGAAGAATCTACTACACACAGAATGATCCACAGCAAAGCAAATATACTCTTCTGTCCCCTTCCATTCCAAATCTGATTCCCTAGATGCCATTGAGGTACAAGTCTGGTTTAATTAGCCAAACACGGAGTTAGCAATGCTGTGTGGGAATTTCTACTGTTGAAGTGACGGATTTTTATTCAGCATTAGCTGAAGCAGAAGACTGACTGCCCGCAGTGACAGATGGTGACAAAGCTCAGGGCCTCTTGGCCTTTGGAACCTGGGAATTCTGGATTCAAATTCTGACACTACCACTTAACTGTCATGTGATCCTAGGCTCCGTTTTCTTTTTCTTTCCGTTTCTCTCCCCATCCCACTCCCGGGGTTTTGAGAGAGGCTCTCATGAGGCCAGGCTGACCTCAAATTTACTGTTAAGTGCTAGAAGTACAGGTATGTGTTTCCATAAATGGTTTCCAGGCTCGGCTCGCTCTCCCGGGCACACGTGCTCACTCGCTCTCTCCCGTCTCTGTTATTTTTTAAGATTTGATTTTTGAAGGATGTGTATGTGTGCCCTTTGAGTGCGTATGTCCATCCTGAGCTGGAGTCCCGGGGGGCTGTACACGGCCCACACGGGGAACTGAACTCCGGTTCTCTGGAAAGGCAGCGCACACTCTGAACCATTGTCCGTCCGTGCAGCTGTCTATCCAGATGTCCGTCTGGCCCTTAGTGTTCTTTTTTTAATTAATTTAATTTGTTCTTAGGCATTCTCACGTATGCATAATGCATACCGAACCCTCTCACCCCACCTGCCTCCTGCCTCTGTCTACTCTTGCCTCACCCCTCACAAATCTCCCTCACACACACACACACACACACACACGTCTACTCCCTTTGTTTTGGGACCCACCAAGACTAGCCAGAGCCATGTGTGTGGCCAGGAGTTTAGAGATAACACGAGAGCCTGGTGCAATCAGTAGTGGGTGTATAGCTGCAGACAGTGATCCCCCTCCCCCAGAATCTAGCAAGGGTCAGGAGCCAGAGGTAACGGGGTAGGGCCTTATGAGCTCAGGATGAGCGCACGGAGGCCGAGCAGTGTTAGGGTTTAAGACTCAGTTGCTGTCCCTCAGAAAAACCTCCCACGTGTCAGGTAAAGGGACTCAGACATACACGAAATAAAGGGCTAAACCATGCATGATACTGAATAGAGAGATAGTGTAATGACAATAGGTCAGGTCAAGTCAGCCTAAGGCCATCGGCCCTATAGCCACAATCTCTGCAGACTGTGTCATCCCAAAAGGTCCCAAGTGCTGTCTAGCATCCCTTGCCATTTCAGAAGAACAAACAGACCTCACATCCTTAACCTCCAGCATGCTTCCAGCACACCAGTGAAACCTTCGGAAGATGTGGGTTTTCCAGGGAACGTGCACAGCTTGAGGGGTGCACTGATCAAATAACGAGGCTCTGCCATACCTAAGTCACTGTTTTAAAGTGCACAGCCAAAACCACCACATTTTATATTTGCCTCAACTTTGTCCATTTCTTTCAACTGTCACATAATAGTCACATTGGTTTTGTTTTTTTAATATTTTCTCACACTTAAATAGTGTGTACACACAGATGTGCATGCTAAGCCTGCCTGTAGATGTCAGACAGGCCATCGGGCTTGGTGGTATACACCTTTACCCACTGAGCCACCTTGCCAGCCCTTAATAGTCAGATTGAAGAAAATATAACAGGAAGCAGAGGCAAGTGGATTTCTGTAAGTTTGAGGCCAGACAGGGCTATAGAGTGAGACCTTGTCTCAAAAAAAAAAAAAAAAAAAAAAAGAGGAAAAGGGGAAGGAACGAAAGAAGAAAGGGAGGAAGGAAGAGAAAAAAAATATTACATTACAGGGCCAGTGAGCTGGCTCAGCCGGTGAAAGCACTTGCTACACAAGCCTGACACCTGAGCTTGACCCTCAGAACCACAGTGGAAGGGAATAACCAACTCACATTGTCCTTTGACTTCCACAGGGGTCATGATACACATACCTGTAACACACACAATAATAATAAACAATAATATAAATTTAACTTAGAAAAGAAAACATCACAAAATCTGGCAAGCCACGCCAGATTTATTTATGATTTCTCCATAGAAGTAAGCAATTGACTCAGAGGGCAAAGCCCATTTGCCTCCTTCCACTTAGCAGACCCAAATCTATTACCTGCCTAGTTCAGAGCTTACACATTTAAAACATGCATGACAATATATATCCAAGTCATCAGACCGACTGCTACAGGAATTACATGAGTGGATAACAGGGGAAAGGAGAAAGTCAAGGGGGCATTGTGACTACTGCTGTGGACTACGATGAAGGAACTCACCCGGGGCCGTAGCTGGAAGTGAGCATGCAGGCTATTGTTTACCAAGACTCCCGCTGGGACCTAATGACCCTGAGTTATTAAGAGCGTAGGGTCTTCTAAAACAGTCCCATCCAGCAATGCTGGAAAAGCTTGGGAGAGAACAGACTCACTAGCAACCCAGTGTGACTAAGGAAATGGGCAGTGACATAAAACCAACAAGCTGGACAGGTGGCTCAGTGGTTAAGAGCACAGCTGCTCTTGCAGAGGACCCAGGTTCAAGTCCCAGCACCCACATGACAGCTCCAGTTCCAGAGAATCCAACATCCTCCTCCAAACGCCCTGGACACATACACATGGTACACAGACATACATGCAGGCAAAAACACCCATAAACATAAAATAAATAAAAAGAAACCAACATGAGCTTAAAGGAATTAGAAAACCAATATATGAGACAAATAAGATTAACATAAACTTAATTACTACAGTCCAAAAAAAAAAAAAAAGCTGTAAATAGGGCCAAGAGGCCAGGCCGCTCAGGACAGAAGACCTGCCATTGCTGGGGGCCTGGGTTTCACCTCCAGAATGCAAAGGAAAAAAGTTGTAAAAGAAACATTGTAAAGAGAGACTGGTGAGATGGCTCTTGCCTCCCAAGCCTAAGAGTTCCATCCCCAGAATCCAGGGAGAGGCAGAGAGGGAAAATCGATCCTATAGCATTAGCCTCTATCCTCCACACACATGCTCTCATGCTCACACATGCTCACATACTCACATGCATGCTCACACACATGCTCACATACTCACACGCATGCTCACACACATGCTCACACACTCACACGCATGCTCACACGCTCACACATATTCTCACATGCTCACACACATGCTCGCACACTCACACACATGCTCACATGCTCATACATATTCTCACACACATGCTC